GTCCTGTAGAAATCATTAGACAGACCGCACAGAATACTCCCGGACGGATGTGACTCCTGAATCGCCTTGTTTATAAATCACTGCCTCAGAAATCCTCCAGCCTGGAAATATTAATCCTCCGTCAGCCCAGATTAGTGTCCATTAATGTGAATTTACCAGCCACTGCCTCATTAAACGGGACTTTACACTCACATTAACGGACGCGGCGCAGAGATTCTGAATCCCTCAATGTGATGTCCTGGTGGAAATGTGCGCCACGGATCAGTGACAACAAACAGATTTATTAGTGTAGATGTAAGCCCCAACTGGATGACATTTAGTTTGCTCCGGTCACTGTGCGTCATCTGAAACAACTGTCATCGTGTTTTATACATGAAATCCTTGTTTTCACCTTTTTCCCTCCTTTGTTACATCTCAGTGCTGCTGATCTCCTGCAGCCTCTTTGCAGGCAATTCCTGTCTACATGCACTCCAGTGATGGCTGCAGGACTTTTCACAGGGCGGGTTTCCTGATGGTGACAGCAGTGGACCGTGTCTGTGTAATGTGCGCTGAAACGGCCACTTGTAGTCTCCATGTGACAGGGTGACAACTCAGGAGAACGACTGGGAGACAGGGACAGAATGTTGTCACTCTACAACAGGAAGTTACAGAGTTACAAAGATTGAAGATAACTTTTGAAATTGCATTAATGTACTTTTCTATGAGATTTTGCTCATTGGGTTTCCATCTACTAAACTGCAGGATACAGAAATACATTGTCATGTAAATTGTCATGTCACCTCCTTTAGGCTCCATTCACACTTTTCTGACTCCGTAGTCACATGATTCCAGTGCACATTTCAATGCGACTTTGATGCCACTTTCCACTCAAGTCGCATCAAAGTAGTAGCGCCTTTTCAAAGTTGCTGCGACTTTAAGTCACATAGATTAGAACGGGTGCCTTTGAAATCAATGGCCTGCGACTTGTCATGTGGCTTTATGAGGTTTATTTACTAAAACTGCAGAGTGCAAAATCTGGTGCAGCTGTGCATGGGAGCCAATCAGCTTCTAACTTCAGCTTGTTCAATTAAAACTCTGGAAGCTGATTGGTTCCTATGTACAGCTGCACCAGATTTTACACTCTCCCGTTTTAGTAAATCAGCCCTTATGTGTCCAAAGTCACACAAGTGTGAATGGAGCCTAATGCCGGCCATAGACGGGTCGAAAATCGGATGATTTTTCGTCCGGAAAAAAAATCGGCCGATTTTTGCACCGTTAGTGGATTAATTGTTCGGCCATTTTTCGGGGGTTTTGCACATTTTTTTTTTATCGGGCATGCTGGAAAATTTGACGATCGGCCGATTTTCCCGGCAATGATGGGCAAATCGGCCTATCATTTTACCGATAAAAAAAAAATGCGCATGAGCCGTGACCTTCAAGAAGAAGAAGAAGAAGAAAAAGAAGAATTCCAGTCCGCTATTATATTCTATATAAAAAGTCGTGCGGTTGCAACAATGTATCCATTTGTATCCGAATAAAAACATCTGTATCCGAAATTGATACAAATAGATACATTGTTGCAACCACATGACTTTTCATATAGAATATAATAGCGGACTGGAATTCTTAGGGACAGAAATAATTATGGGGTTAAATGCCGGCCATAGACGGGCCGAAAATTGGCCGATTTTTTTACCATTGGTGGTAACATCAGCCGGTCGAACGACCGATCTTTCTCTTTTTTTTTTTTTTTTTTTTAAAAACGGACGGTTTTCGACTTGTCTATGGCCTGCATTAGATTCCCTGTGTGGTGTGATTTGATTGGAGCAGAGGTGAGTTTGGTGATAAATCTGATACAATATAATCCTCTCTTCCATCTGTTGGTAACAATGTACTGTGTGATGGAAAACAAGTCCGTCAATCTGTCACATGTAACGATGGCAGCTCCCCTGGAGAATACAGCCAATCACAATGTCCTCTGGGAATTCAGCCAATCACAGCACTGTGGTGATATAAACACTTCTAGGAAAGAATGTCTGTGATGTCATCGTCTGCACTCAAGCTGTCTTTACACAATACAATCTGATTGTACAATCCCTCTACAATCCACTTAGATTAGAAAACTAAACAATCTATCCAATCTGTTATAAATCAGGCAGCCCTTGGCACTACATAGTTGTTGGTAGATCTAAAGGAGATTGTACAATCAGGTTGTATAGTGTATGTCCAGCTTCCAGTAAGGGATAATTGTTCACACACTGACTTCCTGCCAGGAATGCCAAAGAGGGGAACAGACAGACAACTGTCCCCAGGAACGTCCTCCAGCCTGAAATGCGTGTCAGAGCTCCAAGAGATGTCAATTCCAGCACATGAAAATCCCCAACAATGACCGGCTATTGTCTGTGGGTAGTACTCCCCTTCCAGCAACTGGTTCCCTACAAGTGCAGAAAAACTACAACTCCCAGCATGACAATAACCTGTGTCTGCAGAGATTGTGAAGAACCACAATTCCCAGCATGTCCCATCAGTCACCAATAACCTTTGTCTGCCCAGCTTCTGGAGCACTACAACTCCCAGCATGTCTCATCAGTCACCAATAACCTTTGTTTGCCCAGCTTCTGGAGCACTACAACTCCCAGCATGTCCTATTAGCCATCAATAACCTGTGTCTGTCCAGCTGCTAGAGAACTACAACTCCCAGCATGTCCTATTAGTCAGCAATAACATTTGTCTGCCTAGCTTCTGGAACACTACAACTCCCAGCATGTCCCATCAGTCACCAATAACCTTTGCCTGCCCAGCTTCTGGAGCACTACAACTCCCAGCATGTCCTATTAGCCATCAATAACCTGTGTCTTGCAAGTTTCTGGAGAACTACTACTCCCAGCATGTCCTATTAGCCACCAATAACCTGTGTATGCCAAGCTACTAGAGAACTACAACTCCCAGCATGTCCTATCAGCCACCAACAATCTGTGTCTGTCTAGCTGCAAGAAAACTAAAACTCCCAGCATGTCCTATCAGCCACCATTAATCCGTGTCTGTCTAGCTGCTAGAGAACTACAACTCCCAGCATGTCCTATTAGTCGCCAATAACCTGTGTCTGACAAGCTGCAGGAGAACTACAACTCCCAGCATGTTCCATGAGACTTCCATGAGAAAATGCTGAATCTTATAACTCAGGAGACCAACAGGCTGAGAATAAATGTACTTCTTCTGCAGTTATATAGAACTGACGGTCCTGGGACAGATTCCCCCCTAGGTAGCCCACAGTAGTCAGGGGCTAAACCCCATGCAAGGAATTACAAAGATATCTCCAGATGGGGGTCACCTGCTTTGGATATGAAATATTTCATGGAGGGAAGATGTGAGAAGAAGAGGGGGATGGAGGTGACAGATGTTGGAAAAGAAACTGACTGGTTCCTGGACAGTAGAGTTCCACTTTAATGTCAGTGTTTTTTCAGTTCAGTGCTGCCACCTGGTGCCCAGTCTTATTCTAAGCTGGCCCAAATACATCATCATTATTATTATTATTATTATATAATACTTATTCCACCAATCACAGCAAAGGACAAAGTGCAACAACTCACAGCGGAGAAATTATATGTTCTGATTGGTTGTTTGTTCTGGATTAAGGCACATGGAAAATCATCTCTGCACCTCTGATATTGTGTGTGGGGTCAGACTCCCCTGTGACCAATCAGCTTTTATATCAGCGAGGGGTGAATTCTGATTGGTTGTTCTTTGTTATGAGACATTGAACATTATCTCTGCACAACTTATTGTGTGTGTGGGGTCAGACCCTCCTATGACCAATCAGGTTTTATATCAGCGAGGGGTGAATTCTGATTGGTTGTTCTTTGTTACAGCACATTGAAGATCATCTCTGTACTATTGAATGTGTGCGTGCGTTCGGAACCCCTTGTGACCAATCAGGTTTCGTATCAGCTGTATGAGCGAAGCGTGAAAACTGATTGGCTGCTCTGCATTAATGATCATGTTTGTGGAGTCCGCCCCCCTCCATGACCAATCAGCTTTCTTATCAGCAATGAGTGAATTCTGATTGGTTGTTCTGGGTTATGGCACACTGAATATCATCTCTGCACCATTAATCATGTGTGTGCAGTTGGACCCCCCTGTGACCAATCAGGTGTTATATCAGAGGGGTGAATTCTGATTGGCTGTTCTTTGTTACAGCACAATGAACATCATCTCTGCACCATTGATCATGTGTGCGGGGTCAGACCCCTCTGTGACCAATCAGGTTTCATATCAGCTGTATGAGTGAAACATGAATTCTGAGTGGCTGCTGTGCATCGATGATTGTGTGTGTGTGTGAAGTCCAACCCCCGCCATGACCAATCAGGTTTCATATCAGCAATGAGTGAATTCTGATTGGTTGTTCTAGGTTGCAGCACATTGAACATCATCTCTGCACCATTGATCATGTGTGCGGGTTGGACCCCTCTGTGACCAATCAAGTTCCATATCAGCTGTGTGAACGAAACATGAATTCTGATATGGCTGCTGTGTGTCAACGATTGTGTTTTTGGAATCCAACCCCCCCCCCTACGATCATTCAGGATTCATATCAGCAGAGAGTGAATTCTGATTGGTTGGTACATTGAGCATCACCTCTGCACCATTGATAATGTGTGCGGGGTTGGACCCTTCTGTGACCAGTCAAGTTTCATATCAGCTGTATGAGCGAAGAGTGAATTCTGGTTGGCCGTTCTGGGATACTGCACTTTAGACAAGGCTCTTTGCCCTAAACTGACCATACATGTGCAATCTGATTGCCCAATTCTCTTTAGGGTGACCAGACAGATTACAATCCAGATGTACAATCTCTTTTAAATTTACCAAAATTTTGTAAAATTTGTGATAGACTTAAATTATCCATTAAATTTGTATCCCTTTACACCATTGTACAGATTTTGTAGAGATTGATTACCCTTCAGGCTACTCCCATTGCCCTCTACTTGGAAGACACAGTTACCCTCTTGTCTTAGAGTACTCACCCTGTCCTCCTCCTCCCGCAGGTCCGGCATGGTGCTGATGCACAGGTTGATGGCGGTGGTGGCCACAAACAGGATGGACAGGCACGCAAACACTTTCCCCGGGATCCGGACTGTGGATTCTCCACCATGTCCCGCAACTTGTTCATACAATGTCCCATCCTTGACTGGTCATCCAGGACGCAGATGGTCTCATGGGTTCTTTGTGCGTCCTCCTGCTTTTGGATGTCCGCCAGCTCCTCCAGCTTCTGGAAGAGTTTCCGCAGGCAGCAACGCTCCAGGTTGGACTCCTCGATGCCCCAATAGGCCAGCTCGTCCTGGAAGGACAAGGCGCACATCTCCCGCAGGAGGCGCAGCTTACCGGCCGCCAAGAAGCTGACAATCATGCTGAAGGCACAGGGGTTCCTGTCAAAGAAGAACTCATTGGTGTCTTCGTCAAAGTCGTCGCAGATCTGGATGATCTCCTCGTAGCTGCTGCAGAATCTCAACCGACCCAGCCGGGTCATGGGAAAGTCGTCCAGCGTACTCCATGGTAGAAGATACCTGTTGCCTCCAACGTTGATGATGATCTCACGTTTCAAGTCGGTTGAGTAGAGCTCATCTGGGTCGTAAATCTGTTGTGCCCTCTGGTACCTCACCCCCTTCTCTGGCTGAGACTCAACAGCAATGGGGAAGAAGTGGTTTAGGGTACTGCTGGATGTATAGCTGAGGTTGCTGTAGTCTTGCTCGCTGCTTCCAGAGATTATAGGCATCGCTGCCGGCCAGATGTTACTTCACATAAGTGACCTGGAGAGGGCAGAACATGATCATCAGAACAGACAAGGGGGGGTCATGACCAAGACTGATACAGCTCTCTGGATTGGGATTCAGCAGATATAACTTTATTTTTCAAATTTTGTTTTTTTTTTTTAATCAGGAAAAAAAATGTTTATTTAGCACATAGCGCATAAAGCTTCAATAACATAGGATCACATGAAAGAAACACATTCTTTAGGAAGATTCACCTGAACTAAATGTCAGATGCACTTCTATGTAAATATGCCCCTAGTTTGCTCTGTGGGCTGCATATCATAAACAGTTGTCAGTGGTTGTTAATAATTCCAGTTTTCACTGTTTTTCCTCATTTGTTACACCTCAGTGCTGCTGATCTCTTGCCAGCTCTTTGCAGCAAGTTCCTCTCTACTTGCATTCCAGTGAAGGCTGCATGGCATTTCTCAGGATGGATTTCCTGATGGTGACAACAGTAGACCATGCCTAAGCATTGTGTGTTGGCACGGCTGTCTGTAGTCTTCACTGGAAGCCTGTGTGACAAGATGACATAGTTACATAGTTAGTCTGCCTGAAAAAAAGACAAAAGTCCATCTAATTCAACCATAAAAAAAAAAAATTAAGTTATAATCCTACACCCACAGTTGATCCAGAGGAAGGCAAAAAACCCAACAAAGCATGATCTAATTTGCTCCTGCAGGGAAAAAAATTCCTTCCTAATCCCCCGAGAGGCAATCTGATATTCCCTGGATCAACTTTACCTATGAATGCAACCTCTGCCCCATCCTTGACAACATGGGAGCAATTAAGAGACAGGGACAGAGTGTTGCCAACTCAAATAACAGCAAGGGCCTGAACAAGGACATGGCAGGATGATCAGGTGCACATGCAGCAAGTTGACAACACAGAAGAACAATTGGGAGGTGGTTGTCACCCTATAACAAGAAGGGTCTGAACAAGGACCTTTGTGGCAGAATCATCGAGGGCACAACTGACACAGTGAAAAGACAGGAAAACAATAGGGAGATTGTTGTCACCCAATAACAAGAAAGGTCTGAACATGGACCTTCATGGAAGGATCATTAGGGGCACATGTAACAGGGTGACAACATAGGGAACAATATGGAGAAAGTTGTCACCCTATAACACAAAGTCTCCACCAGAAACCTGTGTGAGAGTGTGACAACGCAGGAGAGCAATTAGGAGACAGAGTGTTGTTCCCTGCATAACAGGAAGGGCCTGATCAAGGACCTTCATGGCAGGATCATCAGGGGCAAATGTAACAGGGTGACAACACAGGAGAACAATAGAAAGACAGTTGTCATCCCATAACAGAAAGTATCTGAACAAGGAGCGTCATGGCAGGATCATCAGGGGCACACATAACACAGGAAAACAATAGGAAGACAGTTGTCACCCTAGAACACAAAGTCCTTGAGCAGGGACCTTCATGGAAGGATCACTAGGGATTCTTTTAATGAAAGCTGCAGATTTAGGTAGATTAAAGATTACTTTTGATAATGATCTTTTGAAGATTATTGAGATTTTAGTGATTTGGTTGACATCAGTGTTACATAATTACAATCTCTTACATTAGGATATATAACCACCTCAATGTAATATTAAAAAAATAAATAAATGATCCCCTTCGATGTCTCCAGCTTCTGTTTTTGGTTTTCCATCATTTACTATCAGTGAGACGGAATAAAACTGAATAAATTATGAATACTGAGCCCGGTAACGATATCAGGGAGTTCTCTGCTTTGCCATATTAATAGAGGAAATAAAACATTGTGGGATATACAGAACATATCTCATTCTTCTTGATGTATAGAGGGGGATCCATGGAATAAAGGAGACACTTTGTATAAATACATATCATAAAGACGATTATAGAATAGATAGATAGATAGATAGATAGATAGATAGATAGATAGATAGATAGATAGATGAATTCTGGTACTGGGTGGAACATTGATACATCTTAGATGATGATTATTAATAATATTGTAACCTTAAAACCAAAACTAGACTATAGGAAAGTCGATGAAAATGTCACCGAATCGTCAGGATGTGCTGCAGCCGGTCCCCTCTGAGTCCAGGGACAATTCCAGGGCAATTCCCAGTCCTGGATATCGGACAGGCAGGTGGAAGGACAGAAGTGTTCAGGGTTTATAATGAAATCCCCGAAATGGTGGGATTGATAAGAACAGGGACAGGATGGATCAGATAGGGTCCTCAGCCTAGGACTCCACAGAGGGACCCACAGACTGGTTTGGGGTCCCCAGATGTTCAGATATTACACTGGATGCACCCCACCTCAACAAAACAACTTTGACACTGATGGGCTGGTCTGGGAGGGGGGGATGAAGAATTTGGGGTACCCATAGGGAAGAAGTGATAAAGTTTTTCTTACCAGGATCCTCGTGTTGCTGCATCCTTCTCACCGCTCCGACATCTCCATCCTCCGCTTCTCTACATCCCGGAGCTACTGACTGCCAAACATACACTGACTGCACTAGACTCATTACCACCAATGCAACCTCCTCCTCCCTCTCCTCCTCCTCTCCCAGTCTGTGACCTCCCCTCACTGGCTGCCTCCTCTCTGTCCCATCCCCATCCTTGTCTGTCCCTCCGACTCTCCTCTCCATCCACAACTCTTTTTCCCTTCTCCCTTTTCCTTCTCTCTGTTTCATCCTTTTTCGATTTTCTGTGTCTTTCGTTTTTCTCTCTCCTCCTCCCACCCATCACACCTTATTTCCATCTTTCTTTCTTTCTTTCTTTCTTTCTTTCTTTCTTTCTTTCTTTCTTTCCCCCCCCCCCCCCCTCTCTCTCTCTCTCTCTCTCTCTCTCTCTCTCTCTCTCTCTCTCTCGTCTTTCTTTCTTCTTCTTCTCTCTGTTTCTTCCTTTTTCGATTTTCTGTTTCTTTCGTTTTTCTCTCTCTCTCCTCCTCCCACCCATCACACCTTATTTCCATCTTTCTTTCTTTCTTTCTTTCTTTCTTTCTTTCTTTCTTTCTTTCTTTCTTTCTTTCTTTCTTTCTCTTCTTTCTTTCTTTCTTTCTCTCTCTTTTTCTTTTTTTCTCTCTATCTTTCTTTCTTTCTTTCTTTCTTTCTTTCTTTCTTTCCTTCCTTCCTTCCTTCCTTCCTTCCTTCCTCCTCTTCCTTCCTTCCTTCCTTCCTTCCTTCCTTCCTTCCTTCCTTTCCTTCCTTCCTTCCTTCCTTCCTTCCTTCCTTCTTTCCCTCCCTCCCTTCCCTCCTTCCCTCCTTCCCCCTCTCTCTCTCCCTCTCTCCTTTTTTTCTCCCTCCTCTATATCTCCCTATTTCTTCCTTCTCTGTCTCTTATCTATCTCTCTTCCTCTCCCCCTCTCTCTTCTCCCTTTCCCTTCTTTCTCTCGCTCTCTTTCTCCCCCCCCCTTCCTCCATATCTCTCACCCTCTTTCTCTGACACCATCCCATCCCCCAAACCCCCCCCCCCCTTCACTGACACCATCCCACCCCCCCTTCACTCTGTCTCTCTCTTACCCCTCTCTTTTACCCTCCCCATCTCTCTTTCTCCATATTGCTCCCCCACTCCTACTTCTCCCTCCACTTCTTTAAGCCGCCCCCCCCCCCCATCTCCCTCTCCCACCTCCCCCTTTTTCTTTTCTTTGACCCCCCCCCCCCCCCACACACACACACACACACACGCCCATCTCTCTCTTACCTGTCATGCCCTCCCTCTGTTCCTCCTCACCTGGCTCCCCTCCATCTCCCTGTGTGTTGCTCTCTGGATTAGTGGTGCCCTCAGCCTCTTCTGTCTGTGTCATCTTCATTCTCACTATTACTACAATGTGCTGCACTGAGGCCCCAGATGGATTTTCCACCTGTCTCCATGTAGATCCAGGATCTCACAGTCCTCGGAGGGTAATTTGTGGTTGCCATCCTGAGCCAGGAATTGCTTGTAGGAAATTTGTGGAAATTATTTCACTATATTGTGATTGTAAACTACCTGAGCAGTGACACCACTCCAACCCAGACAACCTTCACCCCCAAAAATTTATTATATATACTATACAGTATACTGTGTCCTTCTACTGTGTCATAGATCACTTATAATATTGTTATAATGTAATTGAATCATCTTCTGGATGCAAGATTATGTGTCATATAGAGGGATGTCCTACTATATTGAGGACTCACATAAGAAGGGATAACAAGGTCAGGAACAGAGCATTTTCTACCATATAGAGCAGGGGGTCCCCAAACATTCTAAACAAAAGACTATCCATCAGACTTTTGGCGGTATAAAATATGCTGGTATCAGTGGGAGGAATAGTGCCCCATCATTGGTGTCAGTGGGGGGAATAATGCCCCGTCATTGGTGTCAGTCAGGGAAATAGTGCCCCATCATTGGTGTCAGTGGGAGGAATAGTGCCCCATCATTGGTGTCAGTGGGTTGAATAGTGTCCCATCATTGGTATCAGTAGGAGGAATAGTGTCCCATCATTGGTATCAGTGGAAGGAATAGTGCCCCATCATTGGTATCAGTGGAAGGAATAGTGCCCCATCATTGGTATCAGTTGGAGGAATAGTGCCCCATCATAGGTGTCAGTGGGAGGAATAGTGCCGCATCATTGGGTGTCAGTAGGAGGAATAGTGCCCCATCATTGGTATCAGTGGGAGGAATAGTGCCCAATCATTGGTGTCAGTGGGAGGAATAGTGCCCCATCATTGGTGTCAGTGGGAGGAATAGTGCCCCATCATTGGTGTCAGTGGGAGGAATAGTGCCCCATCATTGGTGTCAGTGGGTTGAATAGTGTCCCATCATTGGTATCAGTAGGAGGAATAGTGCCCCATCATTGGTATCAGTAGGAGGAATAGTGTCCCATCATTGGTATCAGTAGGAGGAATAGTGCCCCATCATTGGTATCAGAGAGAGGAATAGTGCCCCATCATTGGTATTAGAGAGAGGAATTGTGCCCCATCATAGGTATCAGTGGGAG